ACAAAGACGACCGAAAAAGCACAATGGAGACGACTAAAAGAAAGTGAAAGAAACAGTAGGAAAAGAAAAGAGACGAAGAAGGACTAATTATAATAGAGGGAGGAGGTTCCTTAACTGTTCTAGTGGCATAGTAAGTGGAAATTTGGAAAAAGTCACGTGAGAGTCACGTTTTTGGTTTGTCGTTTGTTTTCATGGACAGAAGCAGACGAGTGGATTTAATTGAGACAAATTAATAGTTGAAGGGTTCGATTTAGACAAAATTTAGTTTAAAAGCTTAATTAAAATTAGAGGCAAAGTTCAGGTCCAAGGTTGGGCTTAAACCACATTATCAAGCCCGTTGATGAATTGTAATCGGGCTTCAGTCTTCCTGGAAAGCGGCTTGCATGAACTTGGTTGTTCCTATCGGAAGTCCACGTCTTGGGCTTTTTGGGCCGAATTCATTATATGCAAATACGACGTCATTTTGTCATTGGGCTGTTAAGAGGGTGGACATAAGATTCTCTGGCCCAAAGTCCTTAACATTGAGTGTTCAGAAATTTATTGATCATATCATGGTGTAAGCAGTAGGTTGGGCAATCTTAGAGATGACTTCTGAAATTGACACAAATAAGACATGAATTTAGTAGATTTGAGTATTGACACAAATAAGACATGAATTTAGTAGATTTGAGTGTAGTCTTAATGGGTTCGAGTGATTAATAGGTTAATTTGACGGATCTGTAAAATAAATGAATCGATTTATTGTTTAACTCATAAATTCGTTTTAACCCGTTTAATTTGTCAACAGTGGTACTACAAATTTCTTAAAAAAAATTTAGGTGTATCAGCCTCTGCCTCACCTAAAAAATTGTGATTTCTTTTACATTTGTTATTGTGCACACACTTTTTTGTTCAGTCATGATTTATTATTATAATAAACAAGTCAAACATATGTAATGTGTGGCGAATTAATGATCTTTTAAATGAATTCGAAAAACTCTAACTGATTCTCTTATTTAACAAGTGACACACGGGTTGTATCAGGTAACTCGTCTAATAAATGAGTCGTATATGGGTATGATAATCTGACCCGTTTATATAAATAAATGAGATATAAATGAAAGATTTTTTTGACACAAACTGTTTTTTTACCCGACAAAATTGGCCGGCATGGTAAGTAGCATATCGCTTTTTGGGCCAAATTCATAATTTGCAAAAACGACAACATTATGACATTGGACTGTTAAGGGATTAACGTAGATTTCTCTGGGCCCAAATTGGCCCAAAATCGTTGGCGATGAATGTTCAAAGATTTATCGTCTCATCGTGTAAACTTTGAGACCTTATTAACCTTGCACAGCTGTTGTTTTGAGTCGAAATTCGTTTAATAAGATTTACCCCTATATTAAGATGATCAAGAGTCAAGACATAGATCACATAAAGCGAAAGCAAGAGTAAGAGTATGAGTACAAATATGAAATTTTTTTAAAAAATATGTCTTTAAAACGTCATATTATATGCACTTAAAAAAACATTCATCCATAAAAATAAATAAAAAAAAATACAAAAATTTAAATTTCATGCACAAATATATGACAAACTATTTAATTTTTAAATATATATTAGTTATAAGGTTTTGAAATAACAATTATACAATACAAATATCATTCTAATTTAATATGTATCTTTATGTATGAGTCAGTGTTTTCCAAATAAAAATTTAAATAATAATGAGTAAACATACAAATGAGAGGATGAATTCGTAAATTTTATAAAAATGATGATACGAATTTACAGAGAATTCACTTTTAAAATCTAAATTCGCTCACGGAAAGCCGGAGTGTCCATTATTTTTAAAAATTCTGCGACGAAGGTGAAGACTCAACATGTAAAGCATCTACACTCGATTCTTTATCTTAAATCAGCCGAAAGCCTCAATTATGTTAATGGAATATCATAAAAATCATTGAAAAGACGCCAACTCCTATGTCGTAAGATTTATTGGAAGTTGGTTGGCTTTGGTAGACCAGAAGAAGCATTAGCCACCATCTTCCATCATTTCTTAAAAGAAACTCATGGTCACATGAGCTACTTTGAATGTATCTCAATTGCCATGAGCAAGGCTGTTTAAATTTAAAATAAATTTAATAAATTATAATTATTAAGTTGATAGTAGATTCCATATTTATTGAGACCTATTATTAATTTAATAATTATAATTAATTAGATCTACAAATCAAATTAACGCTTGAATACTGTATTGACAAAAAAAAATTTGGTACCATACATCTAAAATTTACTATTTTAATGGGATTTTTTTATAATTTTTGTGGGTCATTTTACAATCAAATTTTTTTTCACTTTTTGGGTGTTTATAATTACTACAACAGTGAAAAAAGTATTCACAAATATAGTGAATGAAAGTATAGTACCGGCACATCAAAAGAAAGCATAATACGGAATGTGTAAACTAGTCGGAACACCTTTGATCGTTGAACTAAAAATAGATTGGTATCGAGAATTTTTTTGTTCGGTACCATGGACAAATCCCTTTTAAGTCTAAATAGCATTATTAATTTACTATTTCAGCAATGATTTCAACTCCTTTTTAGTTGAAATCCCACTTCATGGTTCATAATTATATACATTGACCATTTTACTGAGCAAATGAATGTATCTAACATGCTTGGCCACGGGAATAAAGTTTGCTCTCCATCTGAATGTCAGTGGTCACTTTAATCCAAATAACTTACTCTCTGATGATCCTTCTTTCTGGCCAACACTTGGTTAAAGGATGAAGATGCTCAATCTATGCAAGACAAAGTGGGTGGTCAAGATGACCAGCTCGGTTAGTTTAATAGTGTGGACTTGGACTTGGGTTGTATCATAAATTCGAATATCTTAAACTTCATCTTTGCCACTGACTCCCGAATTTAAGCTAAACCTATCATTAGTGGACGGTCGTAAATCATAGATGGTTCAATGTAACTCTACTTTAAAGAGGATTTTCGTTGCCGGAAAAGCACACTTAGGCCAATTATCTACTAGATGAACCATTCTTTAATGTCCCCATGATTCCTATCACATTATGCTTGAGATCATCTGAACAAAATCAAATAAGTTGTAAGATTTTTCCTTTGTTTCTTCGAAGTGTCAAGGTCTCAAAGGACTGGTGAGGTTGATGGCTTCTGGGCATGGGCATCACCACGCACAATAACTATTGTCCTTTGTATGGTTTGTGTACTAAAATAAATGGAGTGAAAGTGGAATGAATGCACTGGAAACAGACCTATCAAACACTGTGTACCCATTTTTTAAAAAACAAAACAATATGACCTGAAATATAGGCTGGAGCTTTCAGAGTCGGACACCCGGACCCAGACCCAGACCCCCTCATGACCAACGGTCAATATTGTCAGACTCACACTTATCCCCCATCACAATAACACACGCGCAGAGAGAGAGGACCCTTTTGAGAATCTAACAGTGTAAGGACGAGGGGCCACCTCTGCATTGCTGCAATAAAGGCCAATATGCATTCATTCATAGCATTTTTAACCAGGTGAATTGTCCCTATCCACCCACCTTCTGTTTCTAGTTCTAGTGTGAACTTGGTCAGCCACCATTTTGCATGTATATTCCATGACTGTAGTAAATATTGTTTTATAGCTTTTATGGTTAAGTTCACCCGGTTTAACGTGGTGTAACTTGGACACTATTTGAGTTTTCACTACAATAAGGTTATGGTATCGAAAAAATATTTTTCAGTATTACACTAAAAAATTATTCTAACTATAAATCTTTGATTAACTCATTTGTAGCTGTTGATCACGAAAACAATAAGTAAATAAATAAAATAATTACAAAAAATTTACAGTACTACGTTCTCATTAGTTGGAAAAAAAAAAAAGATGAGGACGTACAGATAGATAGTTTTACCACGTCATGTTGCTCAAACTGTGAATTTGGGTGGAATTTGTGAGGTTTGTAACTCAACAGTCGATAGCTCAGTCTGAGTCTGCAACTCTTTTTTTTTTTAAATGGGTAAGGGTGTCCACACCCGCTTACGCATACCTTGATTAATCTCCTCCTGGATTTGGTCAAAGACAAATCATTTACGTCGAAACTAAAGAATTCATGAAGGATAAATCTCTTATTTCTAGTCTCAAATAGTAGTCGAGATTCAAATTTAAAATATAGGAATTAAAATTTTGGCTCTGTTACAACTTAAATTACCTTGGATTGAGTCTACAACCCTTGGGGCATCCATGCACCTGTTCTCATGACTGATTTGGTGTTTATAAGATTGATCAGAGTGTGATCAATGGAACAATGGGTGGGGATTTTTGATTAAAATGAGAGCATTAATTTCCATTTTCTTCATTATTAATTTTGATAAATATTGGTTGAGGATTTTCTTCATCATTAATTTGCATTTTCATTTTACATATCAAAAAGAAGGGGGACCCGGAAGAGGGTGGGGGTAAAAGCTTTCACAATCTAAATGCACTATACTTGGCTTTAATTATTGATTCTTCCCTGTACTATTGATATCTCACTAAAAAATCAGTACACAAGACTCTCACCACATGCGAAAAGACTGTTTCTGCAACTTAATATATGCCCAAGTTACAATGGAGTAACTTTAATAATCCACCATTATACACACACACACACACACACATATATATATATGAGATGCCATGCCAAGAGTTTTAGTGGGCCAATGTGAGACCAACTCTTATTTTACCCCCTGCCATTGCCCGAAAGACTCCCATTAAACTGCTGTTGTTGTTTGCCATTCTTACCTTCTTCCCCTTTACCTCTCTGGCAAAGCGTCTATGTACTGTAAAAGAGGTCTAGGGCCATCCCTTACTCGGAAGCCCTTCTGAATCTCTCTGTGACAGACCAAAGTACACATATGTTGACCTCCTTTTTGTGAATGCAATAATAGCCATCAAAGTAGAAGCTTTGCTCACTTGGTCATGTCTCAAACCAGGCCGGACCTTTTCTAAAAAACCCATCACCTTTACTAAAGCTACAGAAAAAAGAGTGTACAGAGATGGGTCCATATCATGTGCAAAGTGGAAGACAAGCCTTCATGCTCACAATAAATTCTTAAGCTTTTACATTTAATAATCTTTTATGAATCTCTTGCTTTAGTACAATAATCACACCCATCTGGGCCAAATGAATGTGTCTGCAAGCCACTGTTGTTGTTTAACAGTTCCAATAATACATGTCGGCCTTAAACCCAGAAAAGATAAGCACTTATCTACAACTGAAAAAGGCACATTGGCGAACACATGCAATGGAAAAAAGTAAGAGAGCAAGAAAAAGAGTCTCAAGAGCTGGAAAGTTGGGCTATGGGGTGTACTTTTTCAATGTTTATGTAGAACTTCCATTGAAAAAGGAGAGCGAAAAGCTAAGCAATCACCAACATAGACATTATAATATAACATATGCTTCTCCATTGGGAATGGTACAGCAGTTCTCAGATTTGGTCTTCCACATCCCCATATCTACAACTATTCATTTAAAAAAGAAAATGAAAGCAATGGTTAATGGGGTCCAAACATAATTACCAGGAAAGATAGGAGGCCATGCTGCTTTAAATCCAAACTCAATATTATATGTGATGTTGTTGAAGTTGCAATAGCCTAGAGTATGCCCCATCAGGTCGGCTGACTAGTTCTGAGTGACTACCTTGTTCCACAATACGCCCATCTTGCACAACTCCAATACTGTCCACCCTTCGTATTGTTGATAAACGATGCGCCACTAGAACAGTGGTTCGACCCCTCATCAGCCTTTCGAGTGCTTCTTGTAGCACACACTCCGACTCCGCGTCAAGGGCACTTGTGGCCTCATCTAGCAGAAGTATTGTTGGGTCCTTGAGAACGGCTCGTGCAATTGCAATCCGTTGTTTTTGTCCCCCAGAGAGTTGAACCCCTCTCTCACCTACTGGGGTTTTGTAGCCTTCGGGCAAACCACTGACAAATGTGTGCACATTTGCAGCACGAGCTGCTTCAATTACTTCAGCTTCCGTTGCCCCTTCTTTCCCATATGCAATGTTATCAAAAATGGTTGCTGCAAATAGGGCTGGCTCTTGTTGGACAAACCCAATTTTAAGCCGCAGAGATTTTAAGTTCAACCGCCTAATATCCTTGCCATCAATCATCACTTTCCCAGCTACAGGGTCATAGAATCGTTCAATCAATGCTATCACGGAACTTTTTCCTGATCCACTGGCCCCAACAAGAGCTTGGCTCTGCCCTGCCCGGATTCTAAGATTAAAATCCTTAAACACAATGACATCTGGCCGTGAAGGGTATGCAAAATCAACATGTCTTAATTCAATTTCACCACGAATTGATTCGACTGGCTCGGCCTCGGGATCATCAGGATCTATCTTAGTTGATCGATCAAGAATTGAAAACACAGAACCAACAGCTTCGCCACCCCTTATAATCTCAGGAGCAAGGCTAACAGTTTCAGCAACCGAATTGGCTGTGATGACCAAGACCACGAAAACCTTGATAACCTTTGAGAAGGTGGAGACACCTTTGCTGACAAGGTGGGCACCATACCAGAGGATTAGGGCTTCAGAAGCGTAAAGAGAAAGCTGAGAGAGACCAAAGAGGAGGCCGGAAGATTGGCTGCGGCGAAGGCTTCCAAGCTGTGGGATGCGGAGTTCATGGCAAAATAGGGAAAGTATTTTTTCTTGGGCATTGAAAGCTGCGACAGTTCGGATGTTGCTCACCCCCTCCCCAGCAATCATGCTTGTCTTTGCATGCGCCTTTGCTGTGTCTCCAGCAAACCCTTTGAGAGAAAGTTGCTGTTCAATGCAAAAAGTAACCGAATAAACAGTCAGGACACCGCCAAAGGGGTATTAAAATAATTTCAGATAGAAAGAGAGAAGTTATTGTAATACCTGAAATCATGTTTTTTCTTTACCCAGAGGACAATAAAGAGTATTGTATAACTACATGTTTCTCTTAAGAACTCATTGCCCATTAATCAATACTTAGAATCAATAAATGGTATGGGACGGCTTCCTAATCGAAACTAATCAAGTTGAAAGGCTTTGTGTATAGTCAAGTAGCCCTATATCAACATTTAGCGGGTATCACTAGCAAACTTCTCTTTTATATATTCATCAACTTGGTTTCAAGTTTTATAATCACTAGTATTGACACATTGCATCCAATTTACAATATGCAAATTCCCATCTGCATCACGTAAACAATAAGTGTCATTTCTACAAGAACTAGTATATCATCACTACAACTAGAAGCCATCAACTTAGTCTCATCATAGTGTCAAAGCTTGATAATTTGTTTTGCTTAATTTATTAGGTAATCTACAGTCTGCTAGTGGTTTTGATTTGTTTTAATAATAATATACCCTAATGATCACTAAACCCATATTTGCAAGGGGTACAATGGATCTGGATGGGTCAGTGTGAGGGACCCACAAGTGGGGACACAAGAGATGAATGAGATGAGCAAACATTATATGTACTCTCCTAAGCAATCAATCTAAAGCACTGTTTATCTAGCATGCGCAAGAATGAAGCACTGTTGAACACAAGGACAACCATAGGAGTTAGCTACAGTACTTAGAAAGAAGCCACGAAGACTGTGAACAAGAAACCCCTTGGATTGAAGCTTAAAAACGACAGGGGTAGGTTAGACAAACTTCATAAGCCACAGCTTCTCAGAACCCCTGCCAAGCCACCATCAATGGCAGACCACCCTGACACCTCTCCATGAATAATACAAATGATCAGTAAAAAGAAGACTAGGTGAAGAAGATAGGATAATATCACCCAAACAAGAAAATCATATATAAAATGGTCACGGGCCAAGAATCTCTGAAACCTCTGCCATAACATCTGGAAGATCTGGTAAATCTAGCAATCAAAGCCTTTGTTGTTCCCACATCTAATTCCTATCCTACCCCCACACCCAACCCCCCCCCCCCCCCCCCCCGTTCTCTCTCTCTCTCTGCTACCACACTAGGTCCAAAAAATCAACCAGGAAAAGGAACAGTGAAAGGCACCAGACAATTTAGGATTTGACTGGGGTGAAAAAAGCCAATAACATTCATTGTCTCGATGAAGAATAACTTATTGTTTAAAAAAAAAATACGATCTTCAATAGAGTATAATGACAAAATAAGATTAATGTAGTCCAACCCTACAAATATTTAGATAAGGCTTAGTTGGCTTGATGGGTAAAGATAAAGATAAACAGGAACACTTCTTAGTGGCATTGAAGTTAATGGGTAAAAAAATCAATAACATATACTTAACCGTTACAGTATAATATACATATATATTGTGAGTTTCAAGAGTGATGCATAGGAATAGAAGGAAGCACGTGCAGAGCACCAACATGGTGCCACGTTGTACTTAGCTATATTTGTCGTCTAATACTAGAAAGATTCCAAAGACCCAAAACAAAACAAGGAATCTGTCACAATATTGAGTGTTTGATCAAACTTTATTCACTCTGTACTGCGCTTTCTGACTTATTAAATCCGTTCAATTTCCGTGCTTCAATGTAAAAAATGGTTTGCAAAACATATTTTTAGTTGAAAACTGAAGTTTATATTTTTATAATCACGCTTTTACATTCAAACGACATTTTTCGTGTAAGCAACGATGGATTGAGAGTGGAGGATTACCTGGGCAAAATTGGCTAGGACAAGAAGAGGGAAGGTAGCCAGGATGAGAAGGGAGACTCTCCATTCGATTATGAATCCAATTATGAATGAGGTGAGGAGGGATGTCATGTTCTGTAGTATCACAGATATCCTCTCAGCAATGGCAGATTTCACATCAGCGGCATCTGTGGCTAGGCGAGCTGCAAGGAGGCTAGAGTTGTGCTCTTCCTCGTCGAACCATCCAACTTCATTCCTTAGGATTGCTGAACAAAGAATATACCAAATACATTTTCAACATATAACCGTGTAAATAATATTTAGAACAAAATGACATTTTAAAACTCCAGGATAAATGAAGAATTGAGCTTTCAACAGATTTTGTCCTACTGTATAAATGCTCGTCATTCCCAGCTTATTCATTGATGATGTAGAACCAAGAGTGCATAAACTCCAGACCAGTGTGAGCAAGTAATGAGCTGAACAAAGAAACTGAGAATATGTATATACCTGCAAGCATCATTCTCCTAACTCTAGTAGTGAGATTTTCTCCCATAATACTGAAGAAGTAGTGCTGTATAAGATATACGACGACAGCATAAAGACCTGCACCAATGTAGATGAAAACATACTCCTTTGTCTTCCTTTCCATGCTCGAAAAGTTCTTGTAGTAGAATACCTCGATCATATTGCTCATCACAATGGAAAAGGTTGGGCTAATAAAGCCAGAGAGAATTGATCCTACAGCACCCATAATAGAGTAAGGCCATTCTGGACCGTTTAGCTTGAGAAGACGTAAGAAATAACCAGCTGGGGCCGGATTTTTTCTCTCTGTCTCAGCATTGGAGACCATTTCTATTCGACCATCTGCACCAGTGCTGTATGAATAGCTCAAATTCCTTAAGCTACCAGAGCGGAGGCTCAGAGACTTTGTTGACAATGAATGGCTCAGTCGTGATGAGCGTGTACGACGGGTTGAAGGATTTGAAAAGTCTCTATTTCCCACCATTTCCTGAAATCTAATTAGGGAAGCATAGGCACCAGCTTTGGCAATTAGTTCTTCATGAGTTCCAGTCTCAACAACTTGTCCTTGCTGTATAACCGCAATTGAATCAACATGTCTTATGGTGGAAAGCCGATGAGCAACAACCACTGTCGTCCTTCCAACCATAAGACGATCTAGAGCTTCCTGAACAATGCTTTCAGAGCCTGCATCAAGGGCACTAGTTGCTTCGTCAAGGAGGAGGATCTTGGGGTTTTTCAACATAGCTCTTGCAATTGCAATTCTCTGTTTCTGACCACCAGAGAGTTGGACACCGCGCTCTCCCACCTGGTTTTTGAAGATTAATGGAGTTATTTTAGCAAAATTGAAGGCCACACTAATTCGGGGGGAAATTGAAGGCTAATGTAATGCAGTTTAGCTTTTGGCCAACATGGGTAAATTCTAAGTTTATGATGTTTCAAGTGAAGCTCTTAGATTGCTCTTCACCGCTGCTTTAATGGAGTGTGATAACAACAGAAGATACTGCAATATATATGAACAAAGTCACTGAAAGTTTTAGGTCATATTCAAAAGAGATGCCAATATATACGTACAAACCTGAGTGTTATACCCATTGGGAAGCAAAGTAATAAAGCTATGAGCATTTGCAGCGGAGGTAGCTGCTTCCACTTCAGCCATTGTTGCATCAGGCTTTCCATACAGTATATTGTCAAGTATAGTGGTAGCAAAAAGCGCGGGTTCTTGGTTCACCAGACCAATCTGATCACGCAACCATCTCAGTTGCAAGGTTCTTATGTCTACGTTGTCAAGCAAAATTTGCCCTGCCAAATCAGTAGGAAACATTAAGAAAAATCATTCATCAACAGCCTTACATTTTCAATTTCTAACTGAGATAGCATTCTTCTGATTACCCTGATTAGGATCATAAAACCTTTCTATCAGAGAGACAACAGTGCTTTTCCCCGAGCCACTACCACCAACAACTGCAAATGTCTTTCCCGCAGGGAAGAAAATGGAGAAGTCTCTAAAGATAATAACATCAGGCCTTGACGGGTAGCTGAAAGTTACATCTTTGAATTCAATGTTCCCGCTAATCTCGGTCAAGCACTTTCCATCAGAGGGGTCCTGAACTATAGTGGGTTTTTGTTTGATGATCTCCATTAACTTGTATCCAGCCGCTTTGCCTTTGCTGAATGCTCCAAGATTTGAGAATGACTGACCCAAACTCCTGCAAGATCAATGGTTTGATTAAGTGATAAAAAAGGATGGTTCAAAGGATCGGGATGAAAAAGAAGAAATTCAGGTAGAAAACGTACATGCCACCAACAATGGCAGAGAAAATGGCTGTGAAAGCCTTCCCCCCATCAGTCTGACCATTCCTCACAAAAACACCGGCATACCAGAAAACAAGAGCCCATGACATGCAAGCTATTCCATAGGTACATCCTAGTCCCAGGCCTTTAGCCATCCCAGCCTTGTAACCAAGCTTCAAGGTGTTTTGTATTGCATCTGAATATGAATTGAGGGCCTTGCACTCACCAACATATGAGTAAACCGTCCTAACTTGTGCAATGGCCTACAATGACAATAAACAGGGAGTTTCAGAAGGCCAGAAAACGATCAAACTAAGCACCTTTGAACCAAAAATATCACAGTGTTATTTAGCTGAATTTTGCTAAAATAATTGGCAAAAATCATTCCGAAGGCTGTTAAAACTAAGGTTTAAAATTGCACTTTTCAGCATGAATTTTGGGTATAAAAAGGGAAAAAAGTAAAAGTTTAACAAATTCTACAAAGAATATGAACCAATGAACGAAAACAGGTCTGATGCCAAAATGAGAAGGCAAAATTAAATACAAGAAGATAAAAGGCGAAGAGACTTTATGATTTCAGGTTGCAGCACATGTAAGGGCATCAATTGATCTACAAAAGGGTCCATAGCACTTCAAGAACATACTTGGCTTTAACCGACACATATAATATTTTTTCGACAGAAAAAGTGCTACAATAAAAGCAACAGACAGGTAAGATTAAGTTCAAGAGTTAAAAACTTCTTGCTAGACATAAATCTGAAATGAAGAAGGAAATGAAACATAAGAACAGTGAACTAGACTCACCTGCTCAGCAACGATGCCTGCATTGGCATAGGATTCCCGACTCTTGGACGTGAGACCGGTGAGAGTATATGCATATAAACCCCCAGCAAAAGCAATCCCAGGAATCACCGCCACGCTAAGTAGAGCAAGCCTCCAGGCTGACACAAAACCAACCACTAATCCCGCCAAAAATGTTGAAAGATAATGAATGAAATTCCCCACCTAAAATTCCCAAGAACAGAAAAAAACACAAAAGAAAATTAATCATCTTTTCCACACTATTTTACATTTTTAATTGCAAAAATAAAGCCTAATGTTCACACGTAGGAAGCTGTTGAACCCAAATCAGAAACTACAAAGATGATGGCGCAGGTTAAGCAATATTTGCTAATATGCGCCATCAAATGTGAAATCAGGACATGGGTCCTGCATTAATGAAGACCAACAACAACCCATATGATCATTCTTCTTCTCCAGAGCCAGAATACTCCAATACTAGATTTCACTGTTACCGTTCAGAAGGAAATGAATGAAAATGGAGAGAGAGAGAGAGAGAGAGAGAGAGAGAGAGAGAGAGACCTTCTCACTGATGGCATCTTGGACAAGAAGAGTGTCCGTGGAGACACTAAAAACAATATCCCCTGTTCTAGCATCTGTGTCAAAGAACCCAACGTCCTGTTTCAACACCGCTTCAAGATACTTCTTCCTCAATGCACTCACTTGCCTCTCCCCAGTGTACATCCAACAAGCAATTTCTGTTGAAATTATTTAATTTTCAAACCAGAAAAAAATTAGCCTATTTACCAATACTAATTGTTACCAATAAATTAAAAAACTGATGGAAAATATACAGATTGAGATCCATAAGCAGGAACAGTGATAGAGATGTGTTAGGGACTTGGGGGATAATATAAAAAAAAAAAAGGAAAACAGTGAGAAATTGACATGTGAAGAGGAAAAAGACAGAGAAACGGTCCAAAGACCACGTGCAACCGATCCAATGTGAACTGGCTAATTTAAGCACTTGGAACTAACTACACCAAATATGATAAAAACAAATTGCATTCAAAACAATACGTATAAAAATGGGCATATAATATAGATCATGCTCACCTGCATAGGAGGATAAACATACAACCAATCCAAGATATACGAAATACAGAGCATACTGCATTAAATACCAACCAAAACAATCAGATCTGATTTATCAATAAACACAATTTTTTTTTTGTGTGTGTGTATGTGTGTGAACTATTTTCAATCGAGATTGCGAACCTTTGATACTTCTTGAGTCATTGTGTGTAAATCAGATTGATTCTTGCCAAACCCATTAACCATTTCACCGAATAGAAGAAAGAAAACGGGCATAGATGAGCCATGAATGATAGCTCCGAGGCTTCCAGAGATCATAAGTACCCAATCATACTTATCAGCAAACGAAAACAGCTGATAAAAAGGAAGACTCTGCTCTTTCTTCTTCTCCGCTTCCGGCATTACTTTCCCTTCCGTCGTCTCCGCCATGAAAAACCAATTCTCAACAGACCCACCAACAGAGAGACTTTATATCTACAAAAGAAAACCTCAGAACTGAAAAAGGCTCAGTTGGTTAAAGCCTGTGAATGTAAATATGTGGTCATTGGTGTTTTGTCCTCCACCATTAAAGAAGGGTCATGAGCTTGGTGGACACATGGTGAGAATGGAAGAGAGAGATCTAAAAGAGAGCTCTTTTTCTGGGTCTTTGTAAATTTTCAGTGCCTCGAAAGAGCTGACAATGTGTCGGTTAAGATTTATCAGTCCAAGAATACTGAGTGAGTGTGTGAGTCTACCACAGCGGAGCTTTGTTTGCCGGAAACAGAAAGAGAAGAAAATGTGGTGTGTGTGTGTGAGAGAGAGAGAGAGAGAGAGAGAGAGAGAGAGAGTTGTGGTGTGGTGTGGTGTGGTGTGGTGTGGTCAAAGGACGTGGAGGGACAGAGTGAGAGTGGGGTGTAGTTACTTATAGTGAAGGACTTAACCCTGGTTTGTAAAATATGTCTTGTCCAGGTTAAATGGAATCTGGTGCTTTACTTTTCTTTTAATTCCAGTTCTGCTGCTTCGACTTTTGTGCTGGATAAAATTGTATTATTTGCAATTTCCCACGCCAGGAATCTCAATATTCTAAAATCAACTACAAACTTTATGCCTAAAAAAAATAGAAAATACTACACAATTTCAATTAACACTCAAAAAGTATGACTCAAATGCATATCATTTATTTTATATATGTCGGATGAGTTAGTTTTATTGAAAAAATTAATAAGATCCATTTGTTTAAGAAATGAGACACATTTCAGTTAGGGGTGTCAAATGTGTCAGGTTAAACGGTTACGTATGAGATTAAACAGGTGACAGGTGAAAAATATATAAATTCATACACGATACGTTTAGTAAACGGGTGAAAAAATTCAACACGAATACGACTCGTTTAATAAACAGATAACACGACACGACTCGTTTAACCCGTTTAATTTTAAAAAATTATTTTAATAAATTTTAATACTCGACTTTTTTTTATTGTCAATTGCACTTATCTCAAAAAAGAGGAATTTTTAGTTAAATCTCATATCTCATAAAAATAAGACTTGAAAGCTTAAAAAGAAAAGTAAGAGGTCATTGGTTTTTATAGGCAACTCAACCCTCCCCATCTCCCTTCATTTTTCAATGTGGGAAAAAAACAAAAGGAATTGATTTGTCTTTGTCTTTGAAGTATTCCAGATCTCCTCTCTTTTGTCTTTGAACTACTATTTTATTTCTTTTTTCTTATTGATTTCTTTACTTCTTTTTTTCTTGCTAATTTTTTAAAATAATTATTAATTTATTATTATATTAATAATATTTAAACAGGTAAACGTGTGATAAACAGTTTGACATGTCTCACCCAAACACGATCCGTTTTATTAAACGTGTTTAGCGTGTCAACACGTTTATCACCCAAACTCGTTAAGATCTCACTCAAACCCGTTTAATTCGTGTCGATTTATGTCGATTAATTTTGTCGTGTCGAATTTTGACAGCCCTAATTTCAGTTGCAATTTTTTAAGTTGTATTGCATTATTCAAAAAAATAAAGTGTACCTTGTCAATGGTTTCTTCTTCTTTCTATTTTTTTTTAACAGACAATGATGTCTTGATCAGCTCACATGCACTTCCACTATTTTCTTCCCCAATTCAGTCAAAGACAGGTCATCCACGCATAAATTATAGTATTTATGAGGAATAAATATATTATAGTCTAAATTTAAGGGATTGTCAAGATTTGAACTCAAGACATTTGAGTTTATAGCTCATTTCTCTTAATGATTTCAAATATTTTTTATTTAATATTTTTTACTTTTTTTTTCCATTTCTATAACCTTAACTACATATATGATATATAGGTGTATTATACCATCAAACGCCCACCAATATCCCTTTTAAAATTTTCATCGTACTATCAGACATGAATTACTCCTAGTATGTGTGTATATAAATGCATGTAGTAAGATTCATATAAATAACTTTTGTAAAATACTCTCTCCGTTCTTAAATATCTGTCGTTTTACCCAATTTTTTTTGTTCCACAATATCTGTCGTTTTATGAAATTAAAGCATAATTAATATTTTTTCTTCCAAATTTACCCTTATCTTTGTTTTCTATTTTTTCTTCACAATATCTGTCTTTCATATTCTTTTCATTCCCAATACGTATTAAATAAGAGTATTTTAGTCTTGTGTAATTATTTTTTACTCATATTAGAGCTATTTAATAACTTCCTTAATTTCTGTGTAAAAATTTTAAACGACAGATATTTAGGAACGGAAAAAGTAGTAATTAGGTATATTTTTATTATGAAATTTCTTCTAAAGTAGTATATAAACAATGGATAATCTGACTTTTATTTTGAAAATATTAAGTTATACAATCAAAGAAACGATGTATCAATTAGCACTTATATCACTTATATATAATGAATTATAATTAAATTAATGGTAATAATCTACTAAAAAAAATATTAAAGAGAATCTCATTCAGACGCGAGTTTGCATATTAGTTTGTTTGTGTTTTATGGCTAGACACCTCACGACACGAATATAAAACAGTTTTAGATAATAACATGCAATGCGAATATAGCACAAACTCAAAAAAAAAAAACTAAACATAATTTGACATAAACTCAATCGAAATTCAGATCTAGTATTTGACGAAGGTCAGATATATAAACTTTATTTGTATGTATTGTAAAACTATTTTCATAACTTATACTTGTAAATCTGTAGTTATCTAATCAATTAGGACCGACACATTCCCATGCAAGTTATAAGTATGCTTGACATCTAGCCATATCTTGCCAATAGAGCTAGACATTTCATGAGGTATCTGCAGCATAAAGGACGAGAAGGTTAGGAATTAGGATGGTGTTTGATCGCTATCGGAGCTATTTTGGGGGTCACATGGTACCACAATTTCTAAAATTCCATTTTCAGCACATATATATATATATATATATATATATATATATTGCAATTTGCATGAATTGTTGAAATAGAACACACACATAATTTTTTTTTTTTGTTTAACGGTCAGAGATATTTAGACCGGTTTACGTGTACATTGATTAATTCTCTCTTCGATCTGGTCAAAAATAAGTAATCCACGCCGATACTAAAAAGTTCACGAAGAATAAATCCTTCATAGTCTGAGCCAAAAAGATTATCAATATTCGAATTCAAAATATTTAATTTACAATCCATCTTTATTACCACTTGAACTATCCATTCTAGTTCAATAATATGCATTTGACTCTACTTTGAATTATTGATTCCATTTTCTAAAATTCCACTTTTAGCAAGCAATTTGCATGTATTGTTTTATTGAGTTTTTGAAATACAATTCATACATACATACACACATACATATATATATACACAAACATTTGAATCAATTTATTTTGGAGACACTTGAAATGTCTCAATCGCGATGTTATGGAATGTTATCGGGTAAAATGTACAAAAATCTTTAGTATTATTTAAACTTAATTTGTTAAACTAATCTATCATAATCATTGTACTAGTTATATATCCCGACAAATACTGAAACTTAATGTCAATCCAATAATTATAATAATAAATTAAATACATGTAATATTATTCAATACAAAACAAAACTGAACATGATCATAAATTAATGTTATATCAAGATTAGCGACTTGATAATAATTACATGAACAACTTGAGATTGACACAATGATGTGTCTGAGAGACTTAATCGAGTTGTGAAAACATTGTGATTTAACAAAACATAAAATGCTATCAAAACAAAAACAAGAAAAGTCGAATATTATTGAACCGATACTTCAAAACCATGGCTTCAAGATGCTTGAGGCTGAAAAGGATAAAAGAAACATGACATACAAATACAATGCAACAAAAGTTGCCATGTTAGGAGTAGGTGCGGTGCAAAATCAACCAAACATTTCTCTCCCATCACTTGAAATTGAACCTTCGTAACATCCTTGTCACATTTAGGGTCATGCCTAACTATATCTATCGTAATTCCTTTTCCAATTATCAACCACACAATCCAAACCCAATGCTTTGAATTTGGGTTGGGACAGGATTGTCGCACCTTTTTGCTTGAATGAATTGATATTTGTGGATGGTTGTTCAATTGAAATTTTCTATCGTTATTCAAAATTATTGAATCAACTACTCCGGTTTTTAGCCTTTGGAACTAGTGAAACACTCACTCGTTCAAACTCTTAAGTCCATCCATCTAAAACTCTTGAATCAATGAATCCGGGGACGGATACCTAACCACTATTTTATTTAAACAGTTAAGATGGTCTCTTCTTTAACATACCCAATTATCCATCGTAATTGTTTTTTCAATTACCAATCACACCATCTAAACCCAAACCTTTGAATTTGGATTGGGTTGCACATGGGTTGGGCTACAAAATGGCCCGTTTTAACGACCTTTGTTCCCTGATGTGGTCCGACAAAGATTGTGACACTACATTATTAATCAAGTAAAATTCAACTGATAAAATAAAAGGTGAATTACAGTTTGTACCTTAAAAGATTTAAAGATTCTCATTTTTTTACCTCAAATATAAAATTTTTTATATTACATCCTCAATGTATCAAAAAATATTACAATGTAACATTTTTATTAATTTTTTCGTCAATATTAATGGGTTGACTTTTGATAGAAAAAATAACAGAAACTGATAGAAGAACTACATTGAAATATTTTTGATATATTAAGGGTACAATTTAAAAAATTTAATTTTAAAGAATATAAATTAAAAATCTTAAAATCCTTCAAAATATAAAAAAACAAAAAACTCTAAAATAAATAACAATCAAAGATCCAAAAGCTAAACAAACGTCACTTCAAAATTATCTAGCTATAGAAACAACAATGATTGAAGTTTTAAAACATAGTGCCATTTCATCACCACGTCAACGAGAGATGAGCAATTCTCGTACTTTATTTGTTCAAAATAAGATGAAAAAAGAGAAAAATAACTAAATACAATCGGCAAAACAATGACTTAATAATAATGTGAATTACACCTCAAATGCTCACAGGTCCGTACACAAATCAAAGGAAATTTGTGGGCAAAAAGATTTCGACCATCCATAAAACCAAATTTGGCCAATAAGGTTTTGGATTTGTTCAGTTATGACTGGGGTAGTCCAAGAAAATTAAAATTCAACCCCTAATGCCAAAAACTATCCTTTTTTTATGTTGCCATTACACAATTTCAAAAATTTCAAATACCCAATTGATTGTAATTGTTTCAAAATTGGATACTGATTGTGATCAATTTGTTTTGTGTAAAAGGAAAGGAGAGGTATTGAGTTCCAGGGGCCATAAGAACTTCTAAAAGAGGAGTGTT